ATTGATAACGAGAAATATTTGTTGCGGCAGTCCTCGTTTCTTATTTTTATCATTAGAATTTCATTAATAATAATATATGTACGAATAGTACAATATATCTTCGCCTATCTCTAATAGTTTTATGTAAATAAAAATTATCTGCTAAATACATCGATCAGTCTCACAATCGTTATATCTTTAATAAATTGATGTAAAAGTTTTCCTTTCTCTCGTGTTTACTGCACAATTGCAATGGGCAAATCATCATTATCATTATCATCATTATCATCATCATCACTACCACCACCACCATCACCATTATCATATAACTAAGACGTTCTTGCGAGATCGACGTTATAAAACATATATTACATTTATATGTTTTTTCTATGCTATATCATGCTTCAAAATTGTCATTCCTCTTTAATCTGTCTCTTTCTCTCTCAATTTGTATAAATTTAAAAAAAAATGTCTAATGCGATATATAAATATTTATAGATGAAACTTATTAAAAACAAAAAAAAAAAAAAAAAACAAAAAAGAAAAATAAAAAAAATTGAAAGAAAAGGAACAAAAATATATACAAGAACAAACACCGGCATGTAATGCATAAGATAAGAACGCACGAAAACATTCAAAATATTCAGACCGAGAGTTGCACCATAATTTTTCAATATGTGCATATAAAAACATGCAATTATATAAATTATTTCTCAATAAATTGTTTAATATTATTGAATGTAAATAAGCATCGTAAATGGAAAAAAAAGTAGAAAAGAATTACCTTTTTCTTATCAAATAGATTTTTGTATATAGATCGTAAAATCAATTCAAGGATTTTTTACGTCGAGTTATTACGATCCTCTTTTTTCATTTTTTTTTTTTTAAATTTGTTACACAAAAACATAGAAAAGAAATTTACACAGAATAATTTTTTCGGAAAAATTGTTCATGTTTCTCATCGCAAAATATTTAAATATCGGAATCTGCCAGGTCACTGTAGTAAAATACTTGCACCATTATTTTTTTTTTTATTTTGTATTCTCGCTCACGGATTCTTTCTTTCTTTTTCCCTGTTTTTCTCTTTTAATTAATTCTTGTTTTGTAAAATATAATAAAAAAAAAAAAAAAAAAATGCAATTTGAAATCAACGATTTGC